CGTTGGAGCCTTCTCCTTGATGTATTCATGGAGCTTGGATGTTTCATCCTGGACAGTGGCTCTCACACTCACTCGCCCCCGGCCTCCTTCCTTTCGGCTTGCGTACAGTCTCAGGGTGCTGGATTTGGGATGGAACCCTCCATGCATGGTTAGGAGCTTTCGGGTCTGAACATCCGTGGTCTGAATCTCTTCCTTTGGCCACCTTATTATTCCTGCAGGGTATCTGATCACTGGCAAGGCATAGCTGTTTATTGCCCGGGTCTTATTCTTGCCATTGAGCTGGCTTCTTAGGACTTGCCTCACTCGCTTGAGGTATTTGGCCGTAGCCGCTTTCCTTGTTGTCAGTTCGAGGTTGCCATTGGCTTGTGGTATACCGAGGTACTTGCAGCTGTCCTCAATGTCTGCTATTGTTCCTTCAGGGAGTGAGACCCCTTCAGTGCGGACTACCTTTCCTCTCTTAGTTACCATCCGACTACATTTCTCAAGCCCGAATGACATCCCGATGTCGCTGCTGTAGATCAAGGTTGTGTGGATCAGGGAGTCTATGTCCCTTTCGCTCTTAGCATACAGCTTTATGTCATCCATGGAGAGGAGGTGACTGATCGTAGCTCCATTTCTGAGGCGGTATCCATAGCCTGTCTTGGGGATTACTTGGCTTAGGGGGTTCAGATATATATATATATATATATATATATATATATATATAGCGTCATGCTGGTAACTGTTTTTTTTTTGGAATTTCTTTTTAACAAATACTTTTTGAGATTCCTGTACTCCTTGCCTCCAGCACCATGAAAACCTTCCGTTAGTGAGAAAATGATCAACCAAAACAGAGAAAGAAACTGGGAGCTCACTGTACTGTCATTTCCCGTAAGGAAAGATGTATTTGCACTCTTTTGCTCTTCAATTCCGGCTGGCGTGTTAGTGTCATCTTTGTTGGAACACGAGCAAGCGTGTCTTCATCTTCTTCTTGGCTTCTTCATGGAACAATTCTTCCCTTTTTCAGTCTCAAAAAGAGTACTCGGAATGGTTGGATGAATTGGACATGGAAGGAAAGAGAAATCCCA